TTGTCTCAACAGCCGATGCTTCATTCAAGCAAAACGTGTTTTCAAAAAAAAAACTGTAAAACTAAAATTATGGCTTTTGGTTGTATTTGCCATCTTACAGGCAGTGAAGCATGTCTCCTTCCAACATGAAAACGAAGTGAACCCGGCTCATATAATCTCGTGAGTAACATCAAAGTGGTCAGTTTTGTTGGTAAGACTTCTTCATCAGTTTAATTAAGTTTGTGTCGAAACGCAGCATATGCGCATTTTTGAATGGAACATTTTGATACAGAAAAGGGACAAAAATCAAAACATGGGCTAGCATCTTATTTCTAATGATTCATTATTTGCAAATAATCTATCACCTGCACCAACATTCTTGTAAACGATATTCAGAGTGCCAGGAAAAGCGAACTCACATATACGAGTAGAAATCAAATTTTGCTTTACCGTAAGATATATACCTATCTGCATACCGATGAAAAACAAAAGATACAAAAATGTGTGTTGAGCTTCCCCATTTGCATGGCTCTAACTACATTTCAGTGCGATAAACTATTGTACGTAGAGCACATCAATCAAGAAAACTGTGTCACCGGCAATATGAGTACGCATTTTGTTGACTCATAGATTTGTTACCCATCTCCAGCAAATACGAAAGGGAAATGCAGTAAAATAGCAAAACTCGGTCATTAGAGTGAAAAGTAGATATGTAAAAATGACCCTACAATATTTTTGTAATTTAATCTCTTCCTCAGCTGACGACATCGCTTAACACCTGTGCAGCTTGTTGCTGACATTTGTGCTCTCAGCTATCCATCGCAAGCATCAACTTGGGGTAATTATTGCAGTCAAGCTCTTACCATAAGCGCTAAGAAGTTTTACTCTTGGGTACCAGCTACAGTTGGGAAGGGAGAAGGATTACGACACATGTAATTCCATAGGTTCGATTATCTCCATCTAAAACGGTCAGCTGCTACTATCTTTTTTTGAATGTTGATAAGAGAAAGCGTGCTGCAAATGATGATAGACGAAATCGAAGAAGACGCGCTTTCCGCATATGAACAGACCACTTGTACTTGTTTTTGAGCTTTGGCTTCAAGAAGACGTCTTTAACAAAAGGGAAATAACATTGCGGGGTTTCTCTCGATTTATCAGGTAGAAGTTGCAGAAAATGCCTAGATTTGTCAATTTTTACAGACAAGAATCTCGTAGAAACGCATATACCCCTCATAGATAAAGGGACAGTGTCCGTTACCCAGAATTTAACCATCGTAAAGAGTTAGACCAATATAATTGACTACTGGCCACGATAACTGCCGGCTGCCACTAGCTCTCCATAAGTT